GAACTCAACTCCTCCGAACTCTCTCTTTGCAATCAGACATTCGTCCGGAGCAATTTGGGAAAAAGACACTAGGTAGAAAGTCTGAAAATATCGAAAAAGAGCTGCTGGAATATATATTGTTGATGGAGGTCATATTTTTCTATTATAAAACCATTTTTGTGATAAAATACATTGGAGTAAATAATTTGGTAATTATTTAATATTTTTTGTCCTTTCCTATTTGTTTTTGGCTACATTAAAGCATTTTTTTGAAAATATACAGTAAGGTTCCATATTACCACCTGATTTTCTCTAAGCCTACTATCGGACTTTTTGTACAAAAGCCTTCAAAAACCATACTTATAATTACACTAGCGAAAAATCCAATTAGGAACATTTAGTTTACTAGTTACCAGTACTTTTCGCACAAAAAATGTGGGTGTAGTTATGATACCTTGTTTACAATTCACTAAAATGTAATTGGGGTTCCATAATACCATAAATACCATAATTCCATAAATGTGGGTGTAGTTATGATACCTTGTTTACAATTCACTAAAATGTAATTGGGGTTCCATAATACCACCTTCTCCTCTACTTATATTTAGTATGAATTTTCAAATATGGCATCTATTTATTTTTTTATAGTTCAAAAAATATTATTGAAATGAAGAATTAGAGATAATTTATATAATTTAGCTAAACTGGCTGTATCAATAAAACTAATTCATATAATCAATAATTCATGGAAATCTTTTTCCAATATATCATATAAAACTATCCTCACTTCCTCAGCCATTTACTTACAAATATAACCAAACATTTGCTGACCTTACTATTAATTTAATACTCAAACTCTTTCAGCCTATTTCTAATAGGCCATCCTCAGATAAATAGCAATAATCATGGGTTAAAACTAAAACTGGAACAGAAAGGCCATACACAACTTCATTTTTTGGACATTAATATAGAGTTTAAACAAGGCTATGTACAAACAGCAGTGTATTTGAAACCCATGCATGCTCCACTATATATTCCAGCATGGTCCAATGATCCGTTTAGATACAAGATGTCATCGTTTAAGGTGCTTATTAAAAGAACATTCTTATATTGCACCAATGTACAAGATTGACTTAGGGAGATTAGCAGAATTAAGAAAGTTGTGAAAAGTTTAGGATACAAAACATCTACAATTGACAAATTAGTCAAGGGTTACAGACAAGATGCAAGTAAACGGGATAATAGAGAAAATAGGTTTAATAAGTTCACGTATTATATAACAGGAATGTAGAGGGAGTAATGGAAAAATTATGTAAATTTAAAAACATGAGAACAGTATATAAACAAGTGCCAAACATCTATAGATTGCTAAGAAATGATAAGGACGAAGTAAGAATGAAGGAGAAGGCTGGGGTTTATAGAATTCTTTTTGAAAATCAGCAGTTAGGAGTGGCAAAGGATTATGTGGGTGTCATCACAAGAAACTTGGCAGTACATATAAAAGAGCACATGTATGACATTAGTAAAGGACACAACAACATCATTTTGGCAATCATGGCCCAAACAGATGGAGCAAATGTAAAATGGATGAGACAAGAATAATTAAGCCGGTCCATTCTCTGACGATTGCATTGAGTATGGACAAAATAGAAATATATAAGAGTAAAGTAAATAACAATTGCTTAAATGCCAAGAATGCTAATGCTCTTCCAACGGCCTGGAAATATATGATAGAAAAGGAAATGAGAATTAAAAACCCTTAAACTTGTGGTGGTTGTATTTTAACTGGTTTAATGTGTATTTTCGTTATATTAATTTATTTTTACATTTGTTTAATTATATAATATGTTATTATTTTGTTAACTATTTAATATTTTACAGTTTAATGTAAAGATTTTAAAAATACGTTTAAAAATTTTTTAAATTTAAAGAGTATTTGAAAAGCTTTGTGTTCGATTGTAGAACAATAATTTCCTGAGGATGGCCTATTAGAAATAGGCTGAAAGCGTTTGAGTATTAAATTAATAGTAAGCTCAGCAAGTCTTTGGTGTTTGATTATATTTATCATATAAAAGCTATTTTTGTAAAATATTTTTAATGTAACTTATTCTTTAGAATTTACCATATTTTTTATACCAATTTACTGTATTTTTTTTTATCAGACTATGTAAATAGCTCTAAAAATTATAAAATTTACAGTAAAATTAATTTGATGATTGTTTACTGTAAAACATAAGATTGAAGAAGATAAACATAAATATATATAAATATATCGTTGTTGACTAACTGGCAAATAATTAAAAGACTAATAATTGCTTATTGTTCCTTACTTCACAATTAGAAAATAAGATAAATAAAATACATTTATCTATCTTACTTTTCAACTGATACTTTCCTTTTGAATTGCATACAAAATACCACCAAACAAAAGTCATTTTTTATGTTCCAATCAGTGCTATTGTTCAGAGGTTTGTTAGAAGGTATTGGTTATGAAGTGTTCGTTTATGTGTATTTCGTGCATTACAAAGGCTAGAATTATGTCATTATATTTTAATAATAAGTTTTATAATTGTATAAGGCTATTAAATAAAATCTATATGATAGAATCTTAAAAAATAAACATTGAAATAAACTTTATATTACCATCTTCAGTTGTCCTAGCATAAATTTCTTTAGAAAATGGTCCATTGCCTACTTTTGTAACAGCTCTTACTGCAAATGCATATTCTTCATAAGGAAGAAGTCCAAGGATAGTTACTTTAGTATCTAAAGAGTAAAAAAGTAATAATAATTACAATAATTGAATAAGTTAATATTAAAGCATAATATCTTGAAAAAATTGACAATTTACCTGACACTTGAGTTAATGAATTTATCCAAACTTCAAAATCAATATTACGTTTTTCCCTAATAGATTTTTTAATTTGAGAACAATTTTGTAAACTGAATTCATAATTTTTAATAAACCCATTAGCAGTATCACAAGGTAGTGGATCCCATTCAAATGTTAATGAATTTTTATCTTTTGAAACAACATGCACATTTTCAGGACTTGAAGTTGGTACTATAAAAAATTAAATTTATTTTTATAAAAAAAAAATAAAGATTTATTGTATCTGAAATAATAAAAGAAATAGAAATGGTTATAATTTGTATTTATAAGAAATAAAATATAGCTAATCCTCAATTTACACATTAGATTAGATCTGTATAAAATTGACATCTAGCATTGGTGGATACATTAAGCCTTCTCTATTAACACAAAAAAAAAACAAAACAATAAAAATAAAAATTTATTTGTTCAAACTTTAAAATGTTTTTAAAGACAGTTATAATAGTAAATATGGTTTTTTGGACTATCTGCAATACAATCATTGTAATAAAGCAACAATCACNTAAATATTTAATATTTTACAGTTTAATGTAAAGATTTTAAAAATACGTTTAAAAATTTTTTAAATTTAAAGAGTATTTGAAAAGCTTTGTGTTCGATTGTAGAACAATAATTTCCTGAGGATGGCCTATTAGAAATAGGCTGAAAGCGTTTGAGTATTAAATTAATAGTAAGCTCAGCAAGTCTTTGGTGTTTGATTATATTTATCATATAAAAGCTATTTTTGTAAAATATTTTTAATGTAACTTATTCTTTAGAATTTACCATATTTTTTATACCAATTTACTGTATTTTTTTTTATCAGACTATGTAAATAGCTCTAAAAATTATAAAATTTACAGTAAAATTAATTTGATGATTGTTTACTGTAAAACATAAGATTGAAGAAGATAAACATAAATATATATAAATATATCGTTGTTGACTAACTGGCAAATAATTAAAAGACTAATAATTGCTTATTGTTCCTTACTTCACAATTAGAAAATAAGATAAATAAAATACATTTATCTATCTTACTTTTCAACTGATACTTTCCTTTTGAATTGCATACAAAATACCACCAAACAAAAGTCATTTTTTATGTTCCAATCAGTGCTATTGTTCAGAGGTTTGTTAGAAGGTATTGGTTATGAAGTGTTCGTTTATGTGTATTTCGTGCATTACAAAGGCTAGAATTATGTCATTATATTTTAATAATAAGTTTTATAATTGTATAAGGCTATTAAATAAAATCTATATGATAGAATCTTAAAAAATAAACATTGAAATAAACTTTATATTACCATCTTCAGTTGTCCTAGCATAAATTTCTTTAGAAAATGGTCCATTGCCTACTTTTGTAACAGCTCTTACTGCAAATGCATATTCTTCATAAGGAAGAAGTCCAAGGATAGTTACTTTAGTATCTAAAGAGTAAAAAAGTAATAATAATTACAATAATTGAATAAGTTAATATTAAAGCATAATATCTTGAAAAAATTGACAATTTACCTGACACTTGAGTTAATGAATTTATCCAAACTTCAAAATCAATATTACGTTTTTCCCTAATAGATTTTTTAATTTGAGAACAATTTTGTAAACTGAATTCATAATTTTTAATAAACCCATTAGCAGTATCACAAGGTAGTGGATCCCATTCAAATGTTAATGAATTTTTATCTTTTGAAACAACATGCACATTTTCAGGACTTGAAGTTGGTACTATAAAAAATTAAATTTATTTTTATAAAAAAAAAATAAAGATTTATTGTATCTGAAATAATAAAAGAAATAGAAATGGTTATAATTTGTATTTATAAGAAATAAAATATAGCTAATCCTCAATTTACACATTAGATTAGATCTGTATAAAATTGACATCTAGCATTGGTGGATACATTAAGCCTTCTCTATTAACACAAAAAAAAAACAAAACAATAAAAATAAAAATTTATTTGTTCAAACTTTAAAATGTTTTTAAAGACAGTTATAATAGTAAATATGGTTTTTTGGACTATCTGCAATACAATCATTGTAATAAAGCAACAATCACTGCCATATGACATTGGGCTAAATATTGGCTATAATAATTATAAATTGCAGATAAATTTGACAAAAGAGGGAGACATCAAGCACTATCTTGTATTAATTTTAATAATTATAATTTAATTAAATAATTTTAGATTAAACTGAAAGAAAAGAATTGGCCTGAAGTGGGACTCGAACCCACAACTGCCACTTGCCATGCAGATGTGTTGCCAATTACGCTACCCAGACATCTGGTCCAATCTCCTCTTCCAGTATATTTAACAGTATATTATGCTTTTTATAGTGTATTAAGTTTCATTAAGTTGGTTATATTTGTATACAATATTTGTATATATATTTGTATACAATCAATGTGCATATGTTAATAAAACATACTTATTAATTATTCAAATATTTTGAATTTTTGAATAATTACATATCCATTATAGATATATAAATTGAGGATTAATGGAATAAGGCAATGCAACATTTGGACAATCTGCCATTGGAAGATGTCCCTCAGTAGGACTTTCTATGGAAAACTGGTCCATCCCTATATGTAAATGTTGGACATAGTGTTACCATCCGTTCGGTTTTCACCCAGACAGTCCAGGATTTGACTCACTGTCCGGGTTAACTATTAATTTTGTCCAGGAATTTTGTAGAAATTGGAAAGTTACAATGAAAGAAAGTACTTGCAAATATTTTTATACACTACACTACAGATGTACACTACTTTAATGGTGAAAGACCTCACACTCACTGAAACTCATCCGCCATGTTACTCTGTTCACGCCCGACCCACCGTCCAGGTCAGAGATTTTGAAAAGGTGGCAACACTAGTTGGACATGTGAAGATAACCTGGAAAAGATGGAGTTTTCCAGGTTTTCTTCACATGTCTGACATCTAAATATATTTTCAGTCCCTTGAATAAGATTTTGAAAAGGTACAGTTTTATATTATACTGTAAGATATGAAAGGGTTTTTGTTAACCCACTACGGCAAATGCCCAAGATGTTATAAACTCAACTTATTTTCATGTGATATAACTATGCACAGACTCAGTAAAGAAAGCCAACTCTAGGACAGTAACCCTAAACTCAATTGTTGGCAGAACAATTACAAAAATAAAATGGCTATGTCACACCAAATTGCAATCACACTAATTTAATACTATAAACCAGGGCTGTGGAGTCGGAGTCATGGAGTTTTAGCTGGAGTTGGAGTCGTCAAAAAATCCGCCGACTCCGACTCCCTTTTACTTCCCAACTTGTTATGTATATAAAACAGAAAAGTATTGGAATCGTGTCAAATTTGACCCTCCAAGTTTTTTTTTGCAAATCTACACGTTTGGAGACATCCCAAACCTCTCAAAAAAGTCAATAAAGGGGAAAAATTCGTGCGCACGTGTTGGCATCTAATTTGTTTAATTTCTTTACTTTCTGTTCTGAGATATTAAACAATATCTCAGAATGGGTAAAGTTTAAGAAACGAAATGTGGCACTGTAGCTTGCGTATAAAGAAGCATTAATACTATTAAATTTTAGTTCTTAATTAAAGGTCGACAGGGTAAAGACATAAAAGTGGTCGTGTGTCATATCTCTTAATGAATATTTTACTCGTTATTAGCATTCAAAATTTAAAAAAATAAAATAAAATTTGTCTTTACCCTCAAAGTAAGCTTTTTTGCCATTTTATAATAGTACAGTAAAACCTGTTAAGATGTTCTCGCTTAAGATGTTAGAATGTATATGGGGACATGATTTAGTTCAATCACTTCGACTTAAATAACTAACTCCTGTGTTAAACCATCCGACTCCGATTCTGACCACTCCGACCACAGAAATTATTAGGCTTCAAACAGGGTGAACAAAATCATGCCCCCCCCACACACAGTCTAACATCCACACATATAGAAGAAACCTCGAATCTTTTGCATATCTCGAAATTTCAAGGTGTCCCGAGTCCAAAAATGTAAAAATTTGGGAGGGTTCATTTTTTGACTAAGCGCTACACTTTCCTCTGTTATACAGTGATACCCCGAACTTACGCGATAGGTGGGACCGAGTGATAACCGCGTAAGTCGAATTTGCGTAAGTCGGGGTATAATTTCGCAATTTGTGTAAAACCCAAGTTGGATGTATGCAATTTGTGTAAAACCCAAGTTGGATGTAAGCTAATAAATGTTCTCGTTAATCTTATCTCGTCTTTTGATTCGTTCACGGTTACAAGAAATCACCACATAGAGTCTCTCAAGTCTCCGTAGATATAACAAACACAGAAATAAATTACACAAAATAAATTGTAGCTATGTGTGGATTCCGCGCGACACATCCGAACATGTAAGCCGAACAATAGTGTGGGGGGAGTGAGTAATCAAGGGTTGTGTGGCGCTGAAACAAAAGATGAATCGACGAGATTTGAAAATCGCGCAACTCCGGATTCGCGTAAGTCGGGGTAGCGTAAGTTGAGGTATTACTGTATATAACAACCGGAAAAGTAAAAAATATTGAGTACATATTTATATATTACTTAGAGAAGTCTTTTAGCTTTGGAATAAAAAGTTTCTACGCTCTATTTTTATTACAACTCTATTTATTGAATATTTTATTCTGAGGTCACGTGATGGCATCAGAATTTCCGGGTCTATTTCGGTAACAAGTCTGCTCCTAGTCGGAGTCGGAGTCAGAGTCGTATGGTAAGGAAAAGTCGGAGTCGGTAGATTTTTATGCGACTCCACAGCCATGCTATAAACAAGAATAATTATTACAATAATAATTTTCCCAAAACTAATCCTTAATGCTACACTTACTATAATAAAAGAAAATTGAAAATAGGGGCAAAAAGTAATGAAGACAGTGATGAAAGACTGGGTCTTTCAGTTACCATGAGGGCCACATGTGAAGCTTAAATGCAAAATACTTGTTTCTATCTTCCTTTCCCTCAGTTCTTGAAGGTTTTCTTGTATATTTTATCCTAAAAATTGGTTGCACGTTTGGACACTTCAATCTGAAATGTTGGCTCTAACACAATAACTTTGGAACTTTAAAGTTCCAACTCAAAGTTCTAGTGTCACCTGTCTCTCAATCACTGAACACTAACGTTTCTCTCCTTTTGTGATCTTCTCTCTAGAGCACCAACCCAAAAGTGATTTTCCTTTGCTTCATATGTCCTCAGGTAACCTCACATATGATGTTGGTGAATTCTAGGAAGTGGTCCTCACCTCCAAGAAAGAATAATTAAGATGGTTAGAAAGTTCTACAAGGTGGAAAGAACAAAGAGCAAGGAAAATTGTTAGAATAACAAAAGGACAAAATCATATAATATGGCAGACAGCCACAACACACATTATATTATATTTTATATCACATACATATTATACACATTATTTTTTCATAATGTAGTTTATTAATTTTTTACATATAGCTGTATAGGCTTTTTACATTATTTTATTATTATTTTTTGTTTATTTTTCCCAAGTAGGATTAACCCATCACGTAAACTCTCAAACCCCTGTGCATAGCCTTTTATATTTAAATACTTTAATAATACATATCAACATAGTTACTTATAAAATATAAACATACCAGATTCCAAAGTTTTCACAATTATGGTTCTTTCTTCACCATAGCCAGCAGAAGTGCTTGCTTGAACACTTACTTTATATGTAGAAAAAGGCAATAAATCTTTCAATATAACCTATAAATATAAATAAAACCATTATTCAAATTGATAGTTAAATTTCAGATTTTTTCATTAAATAAATAAATATAATATTAAATTACGTCATGTTGAGATTTGGGTACAGTTTTATTTCTGTGTACATTTGAAGATAATATATTTTCACATAGACCCTGTTTCATCAATTCATATTTGATTAAATAATCCTTAAGTATTCCATTCATTACAGAACTTGTCTTCCATTCAATTACTATCAGTTCAGGATTCTTTAATATTTGACTGTATTTCAGATTTTCAACTGGTCCTGGAACTAATTTTTTTTAAATTGTAAATGAAAATTATATTATTTGGATATTTTTGAATATTGTCATCATTTAAAATAATGTAATTCAATATTAAAGTAATCACGAAAGAAAACACAACATTGTTTAGAAACCAATACGAGATTTAATCTAGATAAATATTTTTGAAATACTATACTTCAGCTTCAGATCCATACAAATATGAAATCTGAATTGATATACAGGTTAATTACTAGTTACAAATTGAACAGCATGTACCATAAAAATTTCTTTTGAAATTTATATTATAAAATTTCTCTGAAATTGAATTAGTAAATAAATATTTTACAATTTTGGAAATTTTATAATTTAAAATTACAAAAGTCTTCTTCATAATAAATACAGTTCAATTTATAGTTAGCAATAAGTATTCTGCATTTGTGAGGATGTAAAAATAGAACACAGCGTTCTGAAAATATTTATCCACATTAAATCTCATCCTCACTTCTAAACAGTATTAAGTATTTGTTTAATGATTATTTTAATTGAAAATCGGGTTATTAAAATCCCTAGTTAACATTAATATTAGAAATAGTATGAATAGTTATGAATAGAATTAAGTATGAATAGATCAATATTAAAGACTTTTCACCTGCTTCTGGTGTAGAAAATTTCAATACAGCGAACTGTTGTCCTTTTCCTTTAGGTGTAACTGCAAAAAGATGGAGAACATATTCTGTGAATGGTTGTAATCCTTCCAGGGTATAAGACTCTTCAGATTTAGAAATATTCACACAATGTAGATTATGCACCTCTGTGCCTTCATAATAACACAATATATATCCCATCAAAGAACAATGTAATTCAGAGTATATTGGTGGCTATATTAAGTGAAAAAATTATTTTAATTGAAAAAATTGATATAAGAACTATAAAAACAAATGAACATACCTTCCAAGAAAGAGTAATTGTATGTGGTGTAAAATGTTGGGGATTAAAATCAAGAGGAATAGCAAGAGGTGATGGATCTGAAACAGTATTAATGAAATGACTTATTATATCTTTTATAGAATGAAAATCAACTTATTTTAGTTTAATTTGTAATAAAATAGTCAGTATAATTAAAATTCAAAAATATTCTACTGGAAATAAAAATTATATACATTATTATACTAACTTTATTATTATGCCTTAGTTTATACCTTTTATACTTTTATAAAATTTTATACTCTCATCAGTAGCGTAGCATAGGGGGGCAGCCCCCCCACGCTATGCTATTGACCGCCCCGGCGGCACTTTTTAGGGAGCGGCAAAATTTGACAATAAATAATAATAATATCTTGTAAGAATTTGAACCATTTTATTTCATATTTTCGTCCACCTATGATTTGGACCGAATGAAATGAGCACGGAATAGTGTTACCATCTGACTCGCTGTTTGGGGATATCGTGTTTTTTTTTTTTTTTTTTTGCTCGTACGATTAATTTGCACCCATATACACCTCCAATATCCAATAGGGCTAAGTCATCTAGATTACTTATGTTACCCTTACCTAAGTCTCCTTAGTCGCTAACTGTAACTGATTTAGAACCAGCATGCACTGCAAATTATTCTTCATTGCAAAATGATATACCCATGTGTCAGGAACTTCTGTTTGAACGAACCTCACCTGCCGTCAGGGTCGGCGATTTTAAAAAGGTGGCAACACTAGCACGGAATTTTTCATTACTTATTCTGTGACGAAACTGAATTTTAGCCTTTTAAATTGAGATACCTAAATAAGGAAATGGCGAAATTTTCCTCCGCCCCGGGCGGCTGACATCCACGCTATGCCATTGACTCTCGTGAGTTATAGCTTATTCTGGTAGGAGGATTTGCATTACATTTGATGAATTTGAAGGAACAATGCTGGCAGGAATTTGATTCATATTCCTGGTAGGGACATCCATGCCTGACTGGCCAAAAGTAAACAACAGACAAAATAACTCAACAATAACTATAATATTGTGAGGCCCTGGAAATAGCCCCCCGAAAAATAAACAGTCAAGAAAACAAATTATATAAGTGTCAAATTGGTGACACCGGACTTTGACATCAGCGCTAATAAAGAGTAGAAGGAAAAACAAAATTTTAGATATAAAAAATTAAAAGTTAAGACGCAGTTTAGAAAGCAAAACGAAACTAGAAAAAACGATATTAAAATGAGTGTAGGTGTCATAGTCAACAATTGAACGCGATCAGAGTCTAAAAAGTGGTGTCAGATGAACCATCTCCAGCCGACCTTTCCCATGAACTATCCGAAGCTCCATTTACACCTGGAGACAGGTGGAAGACCAATTAGAAAGCAATGAGGTAAAGTTTGTCCAATTAGCAACAAGTTGATCTTGAAAATCTTATAAAAACACCGATTTCAAGGACAAAAGGAGGCTTCCACCTAGACTACCTGTTGTGTTCGTTTACCTCCATTTTTTTGTGCTTCCTTTCATCTTTCGTGTACTGTCTCTCGAGACTTCAAACTTTTTACTCAACACTGTCCAGAGGTCCTATGACGCTGGACCAGATCACTGTCGAAAACTCCTACAACGCTGGACCAGATCGCTGCTGAAAACTCTTACAATGCTGGACCAGATTGCATCTGAAACTCCTACAATGCAGGACCAGGTCAAATCTGAAGACATCTTAAAGTTCTGAATCTAAGGACCTTTGCTTTAAAAAATATGTAAGCATTTTCGACCAGAATAAACAGTTTATTTGTTAAGCACTTGTCTTTTGCTGCCTCTTAAAACCACCACCCACATACAGTTAGACCTTAGAGCTATCCCGATGGTAGGGAATAAAAATCTCCCCCCAATCAGTGTTCTTACAATATGGTAAAGTCCTACATTAAAGACTACACTACATTTGAACTTTAAACAAAGACGTTCACTTAAAAAGTATGTTACTGTTCCTCTCTACAAATTTCCAATACAACAAGAAGATCTATTAATGGACTCACTATCTGTTTGGATTGACTGAAGAAAACCACATATAGCCATGTATCCAAAGAGAACAAAAAATGGCAACAACAACTGCAGCAAATAAACTAACTAGAAAGTACTGTAAAAGCATCCAGCTGGCAACAAGATCAGTAGTGATGCTTTGACTGGCAACATGATCAGTAGTGCTGCTTTGACTGGCAACATGATCAGTTATAACAATCAATTATAGAGTTTTCACCATGGTCACAAATGTGTTATGATACTCTACTTCTTGTTACTTTTTGGTTGCTTAAATCTGTCTTCATCTAACCCTTTGTCTTCACTAGACCCTGAAAATCTTAATCAAGGGATAATTATATAGAATATATGGTCTTGATCAGTAAATCAACAGTCAGTGAGAGATCCCAGTCAATAAAAGTCAATCAAACTCTTAATTGCAAAAAGCTCATTGAGATGTTTTTTAAGTACTGTGTTAGTTAAAGCATTCATGAAAACTGCAGAAACACTATATAGAGTATAGAAGTCAACATTTATTAACAAATAAAACGTTTTTAGGTCTTCCTTATACCATCATCAGATCCTCTATGCGTTCAAGTCAAACAAGAATAATGGAAAAGTTTGTTTGTGCATTTAAGCAAAATTTAAGTAAAAAGATTGGCTTAAATTTAATAAAGAACAATAGACCTACAATAGTAACAGGGTGAAAATAAAACAATAATAATTGGAAAATAAAAAAGAATAAAAAATAAAAAAATAGCTAAAGAATATTATAAATACATACAGTATAATGCATGAAATTGTCAACCTACAATTAATAATATAATGCTTGAACAAATTAGATAAATTCTTCATCCCATCACAGACAACCTGATAATGGAATGAAGAAAACAGAAAAAAAATGTTTTATCTGTTTATAAATAATTTTTATTGTCTGTATTTTTATTTTTTACTTCTATTTATATTTTTATTTTATTAAATTTCTCTGATGAAATATAAGTTTAAATAAAATTCAAAATTTTTTAAACTCTGTATGTTTGTTTAGAATATACTTAGTCTACATTTGAATGTTTTTTATAGGAATATTCTATTTTGTTGTATAAACCTATAAGGAAGGCCTATGAATTATACCAAAAACATTAATTACAGTAAAAATGTTCTTGAAATGTTTGTATGTGTCTTTGTATATACAGTAGAACCTCGATTATCTGGATTAATTGGGGATGATAGTAGTCCGGATAAGGAAAAATCTGGATAATCGAAACAAATACTTTAATTTGTCTTTTAATGATAATACAACAAGTTTTCTTTTCGATGACATATCGGTAATGTTAAAAATAAACACTGTATTTAAATTGTGATCAAATTTTCAAGAAACAAATGTTCGTATTGAATTTGGTCTACTACTGACCAGCGCTAACAGACTAGCTATTGTTTAAAAGGCCCTCTGGTGGCTCAAGAAAACAGATTTTATAAAATAAAAATCAGTTGAAACTGCATTTTTATGAATAAAAATTTGACAAACTATTTATCGTTTTATGACGAGTAAAAGTTTTTCATCGCGTTCTCAGCTTTTAAGTAATGCGTAAACCTTCGAGGCACGAGGTCTTTCGGACCGCGAGGCATAGGTGGTGGCCCACGTTGCCCATGCCTTACGCCCCCCTTGGTCATAGAAATGATGTAATTTGAATATAAATTATTTATAAATACATATGTCAAGTTATATTTTTATTACGATGCAAAATATATTTAAGAGTTTATGACCACTGTGCTGGGGAGACGTTGTTGAAACAAAAAATGTTATGCATTCCATCACATACATAAACAATGTCATAATTCGCCAAGTGCAAATCAGCAAATTCGTAAAATTTTTGTTTATTTTGAACAATCCGGATAATCGAAAATCCGGATAATAGAGGTCTGGATAATTGAAAATCCAAATAATAGAAGTCCAGATAATCGAGGTTCTACTGTACTTGACATATTTTTCCAGTTTTGTTTTATATGTTAGAGAAAACTGTATAAAACAAAGCAAAATAGATAACTTCTTTTAAAAAAATCTGTAATAAATCATTTTTATATGATTAATGTTCTGTATTTAATATTAATTTTACTATTTTGTAATTTTTACTTTGAATTAAAAATTTTAATCAGTATGTTGTAGATTATAATGAAAGACTAGTGCTTGTTTTTAATAAACTAGACAATTTGTTCATTATTTTTTATCATTTATATATATTAAATTTCAATAGCTTAATATCTTTTTATCATTCTACTAGAATTAAAATAAATATTTTTGTTTTCTTTAAGGTCTTTATCTTTTCATTTTTACCCTAACAACTGTAATTGGTTGTTCAAAATTGTTCCACCTTGATTATTTTGGATAACTGACTGTCTACTGTATATAAATATATTTTTATTAAACTTGTTTATTCTTACTTCCACATAATGTCCTGGCTGACATAATTGGACTTGGTGAACCTATTCCACCTTTACCAGGCCTTCTACATTTAATAGCAATTTGATACTCAGTATCAGGTAAAAGTCCTTGTATTACAGCTCTTGTTGTATATATCCAATTGTCGATTGTTTTCCATACCGTTGTTTCAGAAACACGATAAATTACCTAACATTTAATATACAAATTAAAGTTAGAAAGAAAACAACATTTAAATAATGATTTGTTAATTATTATGAAAGTTATTTACTAAATAATTGATTCTATCCATTTTTTTTCCACCTTTGTCAATTCCATATTCCCATGATTTCCATGATATTTCTATACTGGTTGAAGTAACATTTATTATTTCTGGCCTTTCATTTAGTACAGGTGGATCTGTTAAAAAAGATTTTACTTCATATTAAATTCTTAAAGTTATGTTTAATGAAATAATGTACATAAAATTCATGTTTTACCAATCACTAGCAAGAAAAAGGATTTTATATCCAAACCATAAGTATTATTAATTGAGCAATGAAAAGTATAATTTCCTGAAGAGTTAGCGGTAACATTGGCAATGGCTTGATACTGATTTATTCCAAATTTTGTTATTGTAGTATCTAATCTATTCAAATCACTAGTTGCAAAGAAACAGTTTAATAAGAAAGATGTTACTGAATATATGAAAAATAATTATGATATATAAAAATAAAAACCTTGAAATTATCTCAAAAGAAGGTGAAGGAATAGCATCAGCAGTACAAGATATTGATGTATATTGCCCAGCATTTATTTCCTTATCAGAAGTAGCAATAATCTGTGGAATTCCTAAAATTATTTTTAGTTTAATAATTAAAAAGATATGCAAACATTGATTATCATAAATAAAATTAATTTTTCACTTACTGTCTGTACATTTCTGTCCACGCCAATAACCTCCACAAGTACAGTTACCATTAATTCTGTTGCATTTACCTCCATTGAGACATTCACAAGTTTTCTGACAATTTATACCATACAAGTTTACAGGACATGCTAGACAAAAAAAAAAGCTTATTACTTACTATTAATACACTAGTACTGTAATTTCATTTGAATAACTTTAATGGTATATCACTAGCATCAGTATATACCCTGCAAAAAGTTGCTAGAACATAATCCTAACTTTTATGTAAGTCAAATTGTCATATAATCCACATCTTTAAAGTAGATAATGAAAAAATAGAGAGGTTGCAGCTGTTTTTTTCAGCCCAAAATGTAAACGTTGGATGTTTGAGATTCTAGAAGGTTGCAATTCTAGAAGGTTGATAATGGAATTCACTACGTCTAGCATGGTGAGTAGAAGATTGGTTTAAACTTCTTCATTTTTTTGTTTTTGGAGTTAAAATTATGACATACCGGTAGTTTATTACAGTAATGATTATTTAAGCATTTATGAATAATATTGTAAAGAAACAGACAATTATAATCCAGAAATTATTTAATTATTCAATTTTTTTGCAAGTGATGTGAAGTGCCTATAGAATTTATATATATATTTGTCTTCCTAATAGCTTATCATAATTCTGTAGGAGTAGGTTTGTTCTTTTACAGCATGTTCTACCATCAACAGTGTCATACATTTGTAAATTTTCTAAAAATAATTTTCCGAGCTGCTTTTGGATTTACATAAGCCACTACTTCCCTCAACAAAAGTATAAGGTAGTCTATCATCCTATCGTATGGTAGGGGACACAACACTTATTAAAAATAATTATTTAGTGTTATTAAACATCCTATAAATATTTTAAAATAGTTTAATTTAGTTAATTACCTTCGCTGGTAACATTTGTCATTGTTAAACATGTGGCAATACACGATATTATTGTATATATTAAATATAAGTTTTGTTTTAAGTTTTCTTTCTTCTTCCTTTGTTTTCTCAAATTTTCTACTAACATTCTTTCCTGTGGGTGGGGTAACCCTTTCCACGAACCACACGAACAATGGAAAGAGAGACCCTGGGGCTATGAGAACGATAAGAAGGTTCATTCTGGGGTTGGACTCTTGAGAAAGACTGACATGTAAAAGTTGCACTTCTGATCATCATCTAGAAAGACAAAGGGAGATGAAGGTGGCCTATAGAAGGGAGGAAAGGCCCTGCCAATGTAAAGAGCAGTGCGTGCTGTCATTGGAAGCGGTGGATGCGCTGCTTCCATTGTATTTTCTAAAAAATAAATACATATTAATTTTAATTGTATGAAAATAATCACACAATATTTTATTATAACTGCATTATATAACTTATTACAAATTTCTATACTACACATGAAAAAAAAAGATAAGATTGCTATTGTATATTCAAATATTAGTGGTGGAGTGGAAACGCTGTATTGTCAGCATCCAAAAAGCCAGATTCGCGCATTTGCTTTACAGAGCATCAAACTCACCCAGTTTAGCTGGTGGAAGCCTAGGACCTTGGGTGGATGCTATACGTATACCACATTCAATTCTATCCAGAACTGATTCTGAACTGTTAGCCGCCTGCCTGCTAGATATTTGGCCGCCCTCGCCCGATTATGTGAATCATGAGTAGATTTATAACTTAACCCAACCGATAAGAATTTACTGGTATATTTTATGATAGTTCTGTATAGTTGACAGGAGTTTAAAAAATCCATTAAAATATTTGATATTTTTATTCCGCTCTCCCATCTTATATTACTTACAGATTTCAATGTTAAACCAGCGATATTACGATTTTGTATGTCCCATCTCTAAGGGGATGTAGAAAAAAAATGTGTACAATTCTTGTATAATGTTAAAAAATTAACTGTTACTTTGACAGCATCATTTACAACTAAATTTAATAAATGAGAGAGATGCATGAGGTACAGAAAAGGCTCCAGAATTTATTTTCCTTAAATTTACAATTTATGTATCCATTTGTCATAAAAATTTGTCTTTCCATTTTTTCCAAAGACTACAAATATTCGAGTACAAAGTAACTGGTTTCGACTTATTTCTATTTAAGAAGTGGTTAAATAATTAAGCGATTAGGGAATTGGGGACATAAACAAAACCCTGATGAAAGAGCCAAAATTTTACTTAAACAAAAGCTTAACCAAACCATCTCTAGCCAAGTACAGTGGAGACTGATTTCTTCATATTATTAATGTAATAAAGACAGAAATTTTTCCAGTTCAATGAGAGTAACTGAAAAGTTGTAAATTTTGGAAATTTCTGAGGACACTTGATCCTAAAACAAATTAGTTAGAAAACAAATGACTATTATGTTCAACATATTTAGATTTTTACAGCTATGGTGAGAAACGTTTAAAATCTACAACAGCCCTGTCGCGTCCTTTGAGGTATACTAGTGATGTGACAAAAGAGATATTTGACATTGACCAGTATCGGCACCCTGGGGATTTGGAGTCCGCGTGTATGCAAGCTCTGCGTCTGTGTGGCTAATGGATGCGTCTTCGATTCCATCCATTAGTCACTGGTAGGGAGCTATTTGACTAAGTGCATTGTTTTAAGATTTAAAAAGTAAAGAATATTTTATATTTTTATGTACAGTATGTTTCTTTACAAAGCTATATTTAATTATAATTTTCTTTAAAAGTATATTTATACAATTGAAGAATATTTTGTACCAGGTATGTACCGGTACATCCACCACACATTTTATTTCACCAAGTAAGTTTTTATTTTATTTTTAATTGTAACCCTTATATCGTGGCTAGCGATTTGGAATGTAATTGTGATATTACAGTGGTACCTCAGAATATGAACGCCCCAGAATACGAAATTTTCAGGATCTGACATGAAATTCGAACATATTTTTGCTCCACAATACAAACAAAAACTCACCATACGACGTTACATTAGTTCGCAGCGCCATTTTTTATTCACTTCTGTTCATTGGTCTCAGTCCGCGTGTTTGCTTCGTCGTGGAAGGATCTCGCTCGATAAAGGAAATCTTGAGGTATTATCAGAAAGTGACTGATTTTATTGAAAAGAAACATCCCGAAAAGGTTCACACTGGCCGTATTGCTGCTCGGAGTAATGACATTTGCCTAAGTCATTTTAGAAACATTTTAAAAAGTAGGCAAAGCCAAACCTCTTTGGATAGATATTTTACCAAGCGACCTCTATCCAGTGAAAGTGCTGGTGGAAGTGAAGGAAAGAAAGCAAAAACAGTGAATAAATTTTAAATACAGTGGTACCTCAGGATACGAACGCCCCAGCATACGAAATTTTCAGGATACGACATGAAATTCGAACATATTTTTGCTCCACGATACGAACAAAAACTCACCATACGACGTTACATTAGTTCGCAGCGCCATTTTTTATTCACTTCTGTTCGTTGGTCTCAGTCGGCGCGTTTGCTTCGTCGTGGAAGGATCTCGCTCGATAAAGGAAATCTTGAGGTATTATCAGAAAGTGACTGATTTTATTGAAAAGAAACATCCCGAAAAGGTTCACGCTGGCCGTATTGCTGCTCGGAGTAATGACATTTGCCTAAGTCATTTTAGAAACATTAAAAAGTAGGCAAAGCCGAACCTCTTTGGATAGATATTTTACCAAGCGACCTCTATCCAGTAAAAGTGCTGGTGGAAGTGAAGGAAAGAAAGCAAAAAGCAGTGAATAAAAATTAAAAAAATAATTAAAAAATAAAACAACACTAATTTTTTAAAATCTTTTCTAAGTTATTTTTAAATTATTGTTACATTATGTTATGTAAGTTAAGTTTTAATATCATTTCCCTTCTCCCTCTCTTCCGCCACCATTTTACACCTCCACCGTCGTCTATCCTCAAAGGTAAAGTGCAAATAAAACTACATTTTTTTTAATCAATTAGTCTATTATTCTATTATGGTTATTTATACATTTAGAACTACAAAATGCATTTTTCAGTGTTTTCCTTATAAAAGTTATTTTTTTTTTTCAATGTACTACTTAGCTTTAATTTGAGTGTGCTTTTTGTGTTCAAATGAATTATTTGGTTTTACATGTAATCGTATGGGGAAAAATGATTCACCTTATGACATTTTCATGATACGATCTCAGTTTCGGAACAGATTAATTTCGTATCCTAAGGTACCACTGTACATTTAGAAAAGTCTACAGTTTTTACTGGCTTATCGAATAAATGATATGAATAGACCCTAGACCATCACTGACGCGCAATTGACTGATTGCCCCTGGATGTCGGCTTCTTACAGAAACATAGTTTCCCTATCATCAAATGTCACAACACGCCAGTGGCGTGCCGTCATTAGAAGCGTTGGAAGCGCCGCTTCCCTCATATTCTCTAAAAAATAAATAAATATTAATTTTAATTATATGAAAATAATCGCACAATATTTTATTATAACCATATTATGTATCNTCTGTTTTAATGTCATATTTGAAGCACTCCCAAATTTACAAAATTAGATTACAAATTTTATTTAAGAAAGAAAATACTACGTGTTCAGTCCTAGGATCAGAGTCCATTTCCTTAAATGACTGTGGGTGGTACTCTCACCACCTGACTTGTCACTCAGGTTTGCCTGTTTGTAGAGAGAGTCGCCATTTTGTATTCTACTTTCACTCGGTTCTCGGTCCCGAGTACCTACAAGTCAGGTTTTTTTTATGCGCGCATGATTTGGGCACTTAAATTAATACTCTGTGCCAAATTGCAACTCCTGACATGTACTGTACTGTACTCCTTCATACCTCTAAGCTGATAACACAGCANAACAGTAATATAATTAGAACAAATTCTGTTTGCATTAACTCTAACATTAAAAGAACATGTTAAAGCAATTAAAACATTTATAACTTAAAAATTTATTAATTATAATAGTAATTCATTCAATATATATTGAAATAATGTGGCAATATGCCATATTATTGTATATATTAGATATAAGTTTTGTTTTAAGTTTTCTTTGTTCTTTGTTCTTTCTTTGTTTTCTTGAATTTTCTACTAACATTCTTTCCTGTGGGTGGGGTAACCCTTTTCACGAACCATATGAACAATGGAAAGAGAGAACCTGGGCTACGAGAATGATAAGAAGGTTCGTTCTGGGGTCGGACTCTTGAGGAAGGCTGATGTGTAAAAGTTGCGCTCCTGATTGTAGTCTAGTAAGACAAAGGGAGATGAAGGTAGCCTGCAGAAAGGAGAAAAAGCCCTACCAACGTAAAGGGAGAGACAAACATCCGTGATCTAAGGAGAATTATCGAAGAGATCCAAATAACAATCAAAAGGAAAACGATTCATAGCAGTTCCCCACCAGAAGAGCATCGGTACCAAACAAAACCCGGGTATTCTTTATAACCTTTTCCTCTGTTGTTCTAAGACCTTCATCTTTTAGTTTATAATTTCTTCCTTCCTTCCTCTTTTAGTTTATAATTTAGTATAAGTATTAGTTATAAGGTTACAAGTTTGTCTTTTCTTATTTGTCACGAGCGCATTCATTTGATCTGTAACTACTCGATTCCTCTCCCAAGTTTGGATATTGTATAATGTTAAGCGTTGGAATCCGAAAAAAATCCTGTAGATTTTCCAATCACATGGTAAAAGAAATAAATATTTGTTGTTATTTATTTGTGTACTGCTTCACGTGGACAATTGTACACTCATGCGACTTTCACAAATGTTTCTACCATTTTTCAACAATATCCCATGAGTTAGTGCACAATGTTCACATCATGCACTGACTCATGGGATACATTGCAGTGCACATTGTAAATGTGCTCTGCATTGTATTTTACTTGGAGTTCAAACATCAAACGAGTACTTTTGCTTGCCATACAAGTTTAACGTTTGAACTTCGGCCACAACCTCTTTATTACTAATATGTAGTTTAAAAAGTATCATTTCAAACATTTCATTTCTTTTGTTTCATTTTTATAAAACTTATTATAAATTTAATTATAAAATCATTAAAATAGAATAGATTGTAGAATGCCCCCGTAGAACGAAGTCTGCAGGGCTAGACAAAAAAAAAAAAAAAAAACAATGGACAAGTCGGCTTAAGATATCTGGCTTTTAATTAATTTCCGTTTGGCACAATTGCGATATTTACATAGAACACAAACTATCACAAAAATCGACAAAATTTTGTGATATCCAAGTAGTACAATCAAATGCTACACACATTTTCACACTTCCCTCTCTTTCCTTCCTTGACTTTGAGGGCTCACAACAAGTGATAAAATGGACAATGAATGGCGTGTAACAAAGAAAAAATTACAAACTAAGTTACTCATGACAATTTTATACCACGTACAAACACTTGAAGGGAAAAACTAACCTCACATGAATACAAACAATACCTTAATGCCGGACAAAGGGTGAAAAGAGCATATGAAATTGGGGTAGATAGAGAAGACAAAACAAAAAAAAACATGGCAGACTGCCACAGGATCAACCAAAAGACAGCAACTGAGGTACAGAGTGAAGATGATCATCAATATTGTCAGACTATATTATTATTAGACTCTTTCACCAAAACTGAGTTTCTCTAGGAGAATATTTTGTATTCTCCTAAAGAATACAAAATTCTGTAATCTTATTTTCTATACAACTTTTATCTATTACTATTATCTTATTTTGTATATCACTTTTTGTTAGAGAAAAGGTTCTATACAAAATAAGATAATAGTCATCAAAATAATTTCTCTACATAATATAGATATTATTGCAAGCTAATTATTTGTAGTTATTTTATATTTAACTTTTCAAATAGCTTATTAATGTTTTATCGTAGAATTTAATTTTTAACACTATTTTACTGCATAAATCTTTCAATTAGCAAAAAAAAATATTTAACATACTTGTTTGACAATCTTTTCCTATATAACCTGCTTGACAATCTCCAGTGCATATTCCTGTGATTTTATTGCAAGCTTCAGGTCCATCCAAACAATGGCATGATAATCCACAATTTGGACCAAATCTTCCAGCTGCACATTCTGAAAATAGAAATAAATTCAGTATTAGAAAAGTAAAATATTTATTTAAAAATAATATTTTAATAATATTAAATATACTCAAAAACACGGAATTGTAATTTATCCTAATTTAAAACCATATAATACTAAAACTATAACTCTGAAATTAAGTATGGAACCTTCTACATCCAGAATAGAAGTGTCTCTATGGGTTGTCCCTTTTCAGGGACTTTGCTTGAATTATCTTGAGATTTTTAGAATCATTGATTTTACCCAAGTATACATCTAACAACCATTTATATGCTTATACAGGGTGTCCACCATGAATCAGACACATTTGAAACTGTTGTAAAAAATCTACCACTCAGGAAGGATGTAAAATAATGCACATTTTATGATGAAAAACTCAAAAAGTTTTATTAAAAAAATCAGTGAACCTCTACATGAGCTCCTTTTGTTGCACAAAGAACATTGAGTCTATACTCTTTTACTTCCAACACAAACCAAAAACGGTGCTTAATTCAACTTTTACGTCTTTCACTAACATTTTTGGACCCCTGGTTCTTCTTCAGGTGAAAAAAACGGGCAAAAGAATTTAAATTTGATGGTTCTGAAATGGAGGTAATAGAGTCTATACTCCATTTCCTGCCAGGTTCTTTCAAGCATCTCAATCATGACAGCAGCAACAGCATCGTGAATGTGCACACAAAGATGTTGAAGGTCACAAATTTTGACACTGGTGTAAACCTTGTCCTTGACAAATCCCCAACAGAAAAAGTCTAAGTCCAATCCAACAATCGGAAAACTGTGCCCGGATTGCCACTGCTGTGTGATTTTAACACGGTTCCCTTCATCAAGAAGTAAGAGTGTTCCTCAAGAGTGGCACCTTGCCAAACACATGATGAAAGTTCCATTGCACTTGAATCATGGAATTTGTTTCAGCGTACCACCACACAGCTTGAGTCGCTCTTGTGGAGAAGCCATTTTGTGTTTGACTACTGCCATACCACCTACAATCACTTTGGTGGGTTTTCAAAATTACCTATACAACTTCCACAGTTTCTCCGCCTAATGGAATGCACAACATCTGATTACTGCCTTGCACTTCAATATGGCAGTCAAAACAAATGTGTCAGGTTCAAGGTGGACACCCTGAATTATGTTTTGATTATTTGGAGAAGATGCCCTGACATTCAAAAATTTATTTATGACATCAAGACCAACCGATATGACTTCACTTTGAACCTGAAATAAGAAAGTGACTTTGAAGCATACTTCCTAAATATTTTCTTTTCTTTTCAAAGTGATGCAGTTAAAACTACTATCTTTAGAAAACCCACCTACAGTCCACTCTTCATTCTCTGGGCTTCCCATGACCCCTATGCACTATAAACTGGCATGTTTAGGACATTAATCAGAAGGGCCCATACTCATTGTCTGGGATAGAATGCAAGAATGTAACTATATCAGAACACTGGCTCTACAGTTTGGCTTTAAACCTAATATCACCCAGATACAGTGGAACCTTGCTTAATGAGCATAATTCATTCCAGAATCTTACTCATAATGCAAAACACTCGTTAAGCAAAACAATTTTTTCCATACAAATTAATGTAAAATATGATAATGCATTCCATGCTGAAAAAAATACTGTACACAAATATTTTATGTATAATATTTATTCAAAGAAAATTACACAATATACATTGCTGAAGAGTGTAAATCATCATCATCTTTTCTTCTAGAGTGGAGTGAACCAATCAATTTGCAGAAAAAAAAATCGAAATTTAATTTGGAATTGGTCATTAAATTTAATACAAGATGGCAGCATAACTGCCTACCTCTAGTCAAATTATTTAATTTCTAATATTTAATTATGGCCTTTACAGAATTTGGCATATCATTTGGCATGTTTATTATATAACGGGCTATGGTTGTTGATATTTATATGTAATATGTCTGAACACAAGTTTGGAAAAATGTGTGATCACAAACAACACTAAGATCTAGCAGAACAAGTGCTAAACACAGACTGATGTAACATGTGCATAATCCAGGACTTTCCTTCTTCCCATCACTTGTTATGCAAAATGTTGCTCATTAAGCAAATCATTTTTTTACAACTTGTTTTACTCATTATGAGATGTATTCGAGTAGTTAAATAATTAGTTATACAACTGATAAAAGTAGATGAGTAATTAAAAAAGAACCATAATTATAAATTCAATCTTATAAATATGTGCAAGTGATTGAACAATTTCATAAAATCATTTTCAAAATCAATTGTAAAAATTAATTTAAATGTTTTTTCTATATTTAATTCCTAGCTTTAACATTTTAAATAATATTTTAAGCATTATAACACATTCACTATAAAAAGGTAAACTTTCCTATCTAAATAAGAGATTTTATAACTTTTCTGTTTTAGCTCTCTGGAAATGGAACTCTAATTATAATATGCAACTCTATTGTTCAACTTTCAGATGTTTAACTTTCGCACATATTTTTAAGAATGCTTTATAATGCTTTTGAATGCTTTTGAAATATACATAGTCCTGATTGCTTGTATTTAAAACAAAGTTTACGAGTCATTACTTACCTTGTTGACATGTAAAACCTGTCCATCCAGCATCACAACCTTGTTTACATTTACCATCAGTTTTACAATTTTCATTTCCACCTTGACAATGACATGTATTTTCACAATTTTCTCCATATTTTCCTCTAATGCATACTAAACAAATAAATAATGAAAACAATATCAAATTCTTTAAATAATACCAAAAATCTACTTTAATGAAGCTCATTTAAATTGAAAAACAGTTATTCAATTCAGGTGAACTCCAATAAAGCAAATTTTTGTTTTTATCTAAACAAATATTCATAGTGTTTAAATTCATATATATATTTAAAAATTAGCAATTATATCTTTAATTAACATTCTTAAACAATTTAACATATATTCAAACTGTTACATACCATTACATGAGGTTCCATTCCAATTATCTTCACATTCTCCTGGACATGTTCCAACAACAGAATCACAATCAACTTTACCTAAACAATGACACTTTTGTTTGCAATTTTCTCCAAATGTTCCTGTTTTACAAGTAACTTTTGAAGTCACAGCAGAATCAAAATCAGAATCATCTAAAAATTATAAAAATTGAATTAGTTTAACACATTTAAAGACTATTATAAACATAATAAATTATTTTCATTACCAGGAATTTGACAGGAATCTCCTTTCCAACCTGGAGAACATCCACCATTACNCATATAAGCCGTACTCTTATCCCAGTATAGAATATTTAAGAAAAATATAAGTATTTAGTGTATTTAGGCCTAATCCATCCCGCGCTTTTGGCATGCAACCCCAAAATTTTTAATTTGTTCCGGTTGAAAACAAGTAAAATCAGACTGCATACTATTCGTATTGTTCAGGGTAAAGGGGAGTTTAAAAAGTCATTTACAATTAAAATTTTTTCCATTAAAATATCCTGCACGAATACACGGAAAAGCGGCTTAGCTATAGCAAATAGTAATGTTTCATTAAACAATAACATTTTTTATTTAAGAGTTGGGCAAGGTAGAGGTTACCTGTAGCTTAATGAAGGTCGTTTTTGAAATATTCATTAGCCTATGGAAGATTGCAACTTCAGATATAAGGACGATTTTTGCATGTTTTATGCCATAAAAATACAGCAATTAACTGATTAACTAATAATACTTAATTACAATAATTAAATGGAAGACTTCTCTGAAAACTGCACTTGTCATAAACCACAGTACTACTACTCAAACCTTTAAAATGCAGTACAATTTTCATTTTCAAACATTTAGGTACTGTGGTTAAATGGAAGAGTTTTTGAATAACTTTGGAACAGTTTTCATATTTCAAATTATTATACTTAGCTTACACAGTTTAGTTTTATACCTACTAGTTTAACATCAAATCATACAAGTCTATGCTAAATATGTAATTACTATTGTAATGTTTTATTTATGTCTTCTTGATTTTTACTTACAATCTTCACAAGATAGTCCTTTAAATCCAGGTGCACAAGAACAACCATAAGGATCTGGCTTACAAAATATATGAGAAGCACATCCACTATCTTGTGCAGGTACAAAACATTGTTTATCACAATTTGCTCCAAAAAAGTTTGCTCCACAAGCTAAATTAAAATATAAATCAAATATTTTGTTGGAAAAAATTCATTTTGTATTTATTATTTAATTGATTTTTTAAAAAATTGAAAAGTATCATATTAAAAATATAATGTTAAAACATTAATATAATATAAATAGGCAAATAAAATCTTTAATAAAATAAATTAGAATATATATTTAATTTTAATAAAAAATAATTATTTGTTGAAATGAAACTTCAAGATACACAAAAAACTAAAAACCCTTAAATTATGTGGCAATATTTTATTACTAAAAGTAAAAGACAATGTTTGTATTAATATAGAAAGAATTCTACCAATGGAAACATAGAATAATATAAGAAAATATAAAGGATTTATGTTAATTTAATGAAAGCAAAAACAGCAAGTTATTTTAAAATGGTTGAGTCTAAGTTGATTACTAATAAAAATTCTAATATATTTTAGTTCATTGTTAATAAATTTTGTCCTGGCATCCTTATCAAGAATTTATTCATAAATTACTAGCAACATGTGCGTGGTGTTACTTGGATTTTTGAAAAGGTGTGGAATTGAGTGAGAGTGATAAAATCAATGGGCTTAGTAACTAAAATGTGCATTTATTGACCTAAGTGTTTATAATATTAAAACTGCACAAAACAAAAAAAATGTTTGGGCTTAAGTTAAAAAGGGACAGGCTTTAGTGGCAGTTGGAGATGGGGATCCTACAGTAATTTTTTTTAGTATGTCAAAGAGACTCATGCCAAATTTTGTGCAGATACATTGAATGGTATAGGACCCTTTGCATAACAAACATACTGCACTGTATATATAATTTATTCAATAAGTTAACACTATTTGTTCAATAAGTTAACACTATTCAATTAGAAAGTGGATATAAATTTGATGTTTATATCCACTTTCTAATTGAACACTAACTCTAATGTCAACAGAATTAGTGTTGAATTAACACTAACTCTGTTGGCAAGTGGGCATGTGCCATACTCACTTGATGATGTCTTCCCACTTGTCCCTCTGCTTACATAGCTTAGTGTCAATCCTGGGGTCTAAGTAATACTCACACAAATTTTCATTCAGCTCAGTTTAAGAATAAAGATTTGTATAAAGAACAAACTTTTACACTAAGTGCACTTAGTTTAAAAGCCTTCCTTGAACAATTAACTAAACTAACTGAAATAAATTTTACTGCAATATCAGATATCAATTATATGATGCATAACTGTATGAGAACATTTCTCCTACAATTTCACATATAATTGTATATTACTAAAGATCTCTTAAAGTAGGAAATTAGTGTTATTTTAACAAAAAATAAAATAACAAACTGCTTTGCTGAAGTTCATTTTTATTTACAAATTACTCTTTAGCACTTTTGAACAACCAAGTCTATCATCAAGGGAGAGAAATTTATCTATTATCAGGAGCTTTGTTTGTATCATACATCTTGTGATGATGGACTTGGTTGTTTGAAATTGCTAGAGAGTAATTAGTAAATAAAGGTTAACTCTAGCAAAGCAGTTTGTTTTTATTTTTATTATGTTTAAAACTTTGGAATTATTTTCATATTAATATTATTTTAGTAAATAGAATATCATAATTTATTTAACAAAATATTAGTCATATACCTGTTTCACAATTTGCTCCAATGAAACCAGAAGGACATACACATTCTCCTAACATATCATGACAAATTCCTCCATTGTAACATGGTGGACAATCTTTATTGCATGAAGCTCCAAATTTACCAAAAGAACAAGCTAAAAAAAATAATAATGTGAATATAAAGTTAATCTTCAAAATCTGAATACAAAATAGTAGTAATATTTCTAAAAATCAAAAATTATACTGTTAATTTAAAGTAATGCAATATTGTATTGATAATTATGAAAATAATTTTAAAACTATGACAAATTATTTTAGTCTTTTCAACTGAATCTATCTCATTATCTATGCTTACCTCTCACAATAAGTCTCAATATTCCATGTAAACCCAAGCTTCTTCTTCCATCAAAATAGCATTCATATATTCCCCTATCAGAATATTTTATATTTTTAATTTCCACTTGAAGTTGATTTCGCCATTCAGGTATTTCCTGTTCATTGTGCATCCAAAGTATATCTAAACTGTGATTGGCATATTTTATCATATTTAATTCTACATCATCACCTTCATTTACACTTATGTAGGGTTCTTCTGCATCAATTTCAACTATAAATTGAAAAAAAAAAAATTAAATAGCAATAGTAAGTAGTACAGTATTTTACATCTATCTATCATATTTCACATTTCAGTGTATTATATGCATTCCTATCTAATTGTTTTTTTAAAAACAGATAATGCATGAGTTAGACACACACAAATATAGTTTAATTATTTAATGTAAATTATACAGAATAAATTTATGGGTGCTTTATGTATTGCATTTAAATTACCTCTACTTAATGGTGGTAGTTTTAAAGTTGATACAATAGTATCAACACCTCCATTAGTGATATGACATTGAAATGCACCAAAATTACTTGCTTGTTCTTCAGCTGGCATGTAAAGAACTCTTGCAAGCAATGGTGGTCCTTGTATAAACTCTTGTTTGTATTTTGGAAGTGTTATCCCCTATTTGTAAGGTACAAGATAAAAATAGATTTTAGTTTAAAGTATATAAGATGCAAATACAATACATTCATCGTTTAAAAATAATTTATAAATAAAATAATTGCATACTAACCTGTCCAGTATCCAATTCTCTACTAAAAGTGATTTTTCCTGGATTACCTTTACTAGTAATACAATGAATGATTGATGAAGTCTTAGAATCTGATAACCTTCCATATAAACTTCTTAAAATAAAATTAGTATCAAATTGACCTTTAAATAAAAAAAAATTTTAATACATAAATATAATTTCTTTAATGTTACAATAATGGTAATAGTGTAAAATATTTATTGTTAAAATCATTTAGTTAATTTGTTGAATTTGACCAGTTCTTAATATACAACACTGCTAATTTGCTCATTGAAGAATGTAGCAGAGGACTGTTGATTATTGTTATTTTGACAGAAATATGTTTTAAAGTCATTCATAATAATTTATAAACACTCATTTATTTCTTATAATTAAAAAAATACACAAAAATCTACTTAGGAATTTTTTTTAAAAAACTAATGTTTTTAGATTTATCTCTGATTCATATCATAGATATATTCAGAAAGAGAGATATTGCATATATCCACTTAACTGAAAATGAATAAATAAAATATAACTAAAACAAATGTACTTTTTATTTCAGAAATACACTATACTTTTTAATACATAGTTTTTAGATGCAGATTTACAGTGCAGGACAAAAGTTTAAGACTGCATATGATTTTCTCAATAAAACTTTTTAGGAAAGTTATAGCTGAAGGACTAAATAAAGCATACATATTTTAAAAAGTAACTGTTTATGAAATTTTTAAATAAAAAAGTTAAACTTATTACTTTTTATAAATGCATTAACAACAAATAATAGTGAACCTTATGAAAATATATTTACATTCACATGCTCTATGTTTAGCCATTCAGCTGTAACTTTCCTAAAAATTTTGATTGATAAATATATGAATTATAGGAAAAATTATAGGTGGTCTTAAATTTTTGTCCTGTAGTGTATGTGAGCAAGTCTTTTTGGATTTATCCAAATAAAAGAAGTTTTGCATAAACCTATCCCGAATATCCCCAGTTCAATGATATTTGATTCCCTACTGATCCTTATTACAATTAATTCAAATCAAGAAAATTTTTTTATATATAAAACACTCTCATTAATCCAAACTCTGCTTAATCTGAACCAATTTTGTTAATTTTCCTGCTAAATTTTCCTGCCATAAACCAAAATAAGTCAAAGATTACTTTTTAAAAACACGAAAAATTTGAGTTTAATATAGGCTATATTATGCATTTAACATGAGTATATATACACTAAATACAGTATAAAAATTTTAAAAAATATATAAACTTTTTAATGTACACTTTCAACCATGACTATATTCTAAAATCTATTTGTAAAAAACCCCCAAAAATTAAAATAATTAAATAAAAATTTATTGATATAAATAATTGTCTCCAAGCTTTCAAAAGCTTGCTAAAATTTTCCAGAGGGAGTACCTCTGGAAAATTTTCTGAGGATGTTTGTCTCTAGTTCTTTCTGACTTCCTTTTCTTTATATATATAACCCCACTAATCCTGATTTTTCAATCACCAGAAAAACACTATATGATAATGAGTTTGGATTAATAAGAGTGAAAGTTTTAAAATAAGAATAGAAAATTTCAAATAAATTTTAATGAATGCATTTTTAAATATCTTGTTTGAAAATATATATTTTCAACATTATATTCTTAATTTTAAAATTTTCTAACTAAAAAACATACAAATTCTTTAAATGTAACTGCTTTATTATTTAGTAAACACTGCACATATAACCAATATTCAGCAAAAAGAAACTACATTGGAACCTCGGTATACGTCTGCTTTAGAATACGTCAAATTCGGTATACGTCCTGTTTGGACGAAACAAATTTTGCTCGGTATACGACTTTTGTTCGGTATACGACTTAATTATACGCGCCATCTATGAACAACTGTCGGTATACTAGACCAGACTAGACGTTCGCGGTGCCACAGTTTATAACTTTGTTAGATTTCTTCTGATTTTAATTTGTAAGTAAAAGTTTATTATTAATCATGAATTGCAAGAAGGCAAATGAAAAGCAACAGAAAACTAAAAAAATGACTAGAATCACAACTGAAAAAAGAAATTGTTGAGAAATATGAAGGTGGCATGCGTGTTCGAGATTTAACTGTTGCATATTGTATTCCGAGTACGACGATATTGACAATCGTGAAAAATAATGACATTATTAAATCTGCTAACGTTGCGAAAGGGGTTAAATCAATTTCTAAACAGAGATCAAAGACATTAAATCATTAACGATGTANAACTGAAAAACTGTGTGCTAGAGACACCGTATCAGAAGCAATTATTTGCGAGAAAGCTACAAAGATACATGCTGATCTCATGAAAAATCAAGCAGGAACTAGCCAGGAAAGCGAGGTGTTTAAAGCCAGCCATTTTTTTTACATCAGAACGAATTAATCATTTTTAATTACTTCGTATGGGAAAGGTTGATTCGGTATACATCCTATTCGGTATAAGTCCAACAATCAGGAATGGATTAAGGTCGTATACCGAGGTTCCACTGTATAAGAAAGCAAAAATTTTCATCTGCATTTAGTTAGCCTGATTATGCCATTAAACACAAATGAAAACATTTGCTTTCTTGTAATTTCTTTGTGACAATCACTCATTATGTTGTATATTAATTGTGTTTGGCTCTTTTTAAAAATATCATTACTATTATTATTCACTATTGTTGGTTTAGATAATTTATTACCTATAGAGTCTCTTAATTCTGGATTAACAATAATGTTAAAATTTTCATAATTTTTATAATATGTTCAAAACTATTTTCTTTGCAAATTAAACTAATGTATCATAAATTCTTTATTATTATTATTGTTAATGTTTCACCTTATATAACCAACTTGTAATTAAATGTTTTGGGTAGTTATTAAATTAATATAATTTAATAACTACCCAAAACTATTAAATTAATATAATTACTATTAACTACCCATAACTATTAAATTAATATAATTTAATAACTACCCAAAACATTTAATTAATAAATTAACATTAATAAAACATTAAATTAATACAATTTAATAACTACCAAAATATTTAATTAATTAAATTTGATTGAATGTATGGCTAATGTAAATTTGTGTAACTTTACTTAATTGCATGTAAGTGTTCTGTAATTTTGTTTTTAGTGTTCTTTTACTTTCATCTATGTAATAATATTTTGGTAGGCAACTACATTCAAATTTATATATCAAGTTACTGTTTAACACAATATTTGTTTTTCACAAATTAAATCTCTAGTATTTGATAATCCATCCACAATGTTACTTAATATTAACACTAATACAATATTAATATTTAATATTTTTTGAGTCTTTTCAAATATTGTTGGGATGTACTCTAATTTAAAATAAATTTGATCTATTTTTATCTTACTTGCTTTTATTCTTTATTAATTAGCCATTTATAAATTAGTATTTGGATAGTTATTCAGTAAGAATGTATGACATGTTTTATTTCTTGTTTTGGTCTTTTATATTTGTTGTTCATACTTTAGTTTCATTTATGTATATGTTAAATATATTTATTTTTATGTACAGGTACATGGGGCACAAGAATAATAGTCCATTATTTTATCCACATTAGATGACTTAATGTTTTCTAAAACCTACAAAGTTACACATTCTGTAAAGTAATATTTCTTATAATTTTACAACAGGATATTAGACTCATTACAACATTAACAGGAAATTAGGTTATTTGCAACAATATCAGCTCAATGAATTATTATTACAATTATTCTAATCTCCTGTCTTTGAGACAGAAATGAAAAACTTTTTCTAAGATTCTAATGATTATAATACAATTACACATTTCAATATTAAATTTCTATGGGAAAAAAGGTATCAATTGTTTTCCTTATTAGTATATATTCTTAAACTCTTGTTTAATATAGATCTTATTATATTTAGGCTTTAACACTTATCTAAAAGAAAAGTTGTTGAATTATTATTATTATTTTTTTTTAAANATTCAAATTTATATATCAAGTTACTGTTTAACACAATATTTGTTTTTCACAAATTAAATCTCTAGTATTTGATAATCCATCCACAATGTTACTTAATATTAACACTAATACAATATTAATATTTAATATTTTTTGAGTCTTTTCAAATATTGTTGGGATGTACTCTAATTTAAAATAAATTTGATCTATTTTTATCTTACTTGCTTTTATTCTTTATTAATTAGCCATTTATAAATTAGTATTTGGATAGTTATTCAGTAAGAATGTATGACATGTTTTATTTCTTGTTTTGGTCTTTTATATTTGTTGTTCATACTTTAGTTTCATTTATGTATATGTTAAATATATTTATTTTTATGTACAGGTACATGGGGCACAAGAATAATAGTCCATTATTTTATCCACATTAGATGACTTAATGTTTTCTAAAACCTACAAAGTTACACATTCTGTAAAGTAATATTTCTTATAATTTTACAACAGGATATTAGACTCATTACAACATTAACAGGAAATTAGGTTATTTGCAACAATATCAGCTCAATGAATTATTATTACAATTATTCTAATCTCCTGTCTTTGAGACAGAAATGAAAAACTTTTTCTAAGATTCTAATGATTATAATACAATTACACATTTCAATATTAAATTTCTATGGGAAAAAAGGTATCAATTGTTTTCCTTATTAGTATATATTCTTAAACTCTTGTTTAATATAGATCTTATTATATTTAGGCTTTAACACTTATCTAAAAGAAAAGTTGTTGAATTATTATTATTATTTTTTTTTTAAATCCTTTACCAAGCAGAGTATCTAATTATTGTTTTTTATACTTTAAAATTCAAACATTATACATATTCATTCATTATACACTAGGTAATTAAACTAAAAGTTTACATGTGAAAAATATAACAGAGTTTGATGACATTATAAGTTAGACTTGGCAACATCATGAACCAATCATTCTTTTTGTTTTCATCTCTTTTCACCCTGTAGGCATTATGAGGGCCTTTATTTAATCATACTCATTGTAAATTCAGCCAGGCTCAACTGGGTAAATGGTGAGGGATAACATCTGAAATATCCAGGACAGACCATCCCTGAAAATTCCTGAGGCTTTTTTACAGCCAGGATTCAATCCTAGGTCCC